TACTAGGTAGAAAACATCCAGGAGAAGCACCTTGTGATATGATGTAGTCGGTAAGTAGCAGGCCATCTGGGTAGAAAAACATCCAGGGGAAGCACCTTGTGATATGATGTAGTATGATAAGTACAGTCCATCTGGGTAGAAAAACATCCAGGGGAAGCACTTTGTGATATGATGTAGTATGATAAGTGCAGTCCATCTGGGCAGAAAAACATCCAGGGGAAGCACCTTGTGTTATGATGTAGTACGATAAGTGCAGTCCATCTGGGCAGAAAAACATCCAGGAAGTGTCTTGCATAACATTTTTGGTTCATATCTTGTACACAAGTTTCTTAGTGATCAACAAGTGCAGTCCACCCAGGCAAAAACATCCAGAGGAAGTGCCTTGCTTAAAAAATTTTTTTTGTGAAAAACAAGTAAGATCAGCCTGGGCAAAAACATCCAGGAGAAGTACCTTGTGTTTTATTGAGTATAGCAAGTGTGGTCCATCCAAGCAGAAAACATCCAGTGGAAGCACCTTGCATAAAATTTGTATTTCATGATCAACAAGTGTGGTCTACCCGGGCCAAAGACATCTATGAGAAGCACCTTGGGTTGAGCATATTTTGATATTGTATGATATGAAATATAATGACGATAGCCATCTTCTCACTGAGTGGATGTATATGACTATGAAGTTTGTTTTATTGTACAAATCCAACTCCAGAAGAAACCTCCATAGTGCACCATTCCAGTGACTGGAAACAGGAAATAGCAAGATCTCCTGTGCTCTACTAGGAGAAAACGGGGGGAATACACAGTAGGGAAACTGGAGAAATGACAATGCAATAGGTGTCTGTGATTCCCTATTTTGAAAAGCAGAAAGAGTCCGATTGTAAGTAGGGATGGGCAAAAATCCCCACGTGCTTTACTCATGAAGTCCACGAGTAACAGTCCTTTATATATGATACAGTGATAAGGAAGAAAAAATAATACATATATATGTACACACACACCACCGGATAAGAGGTTAGCGGTCTTACAGAAACACCCCATCTCCACAGTGAGCATTATGGAAGTATACAAATTCAGTGCCAAGATATAATATTTAGCATACCTGACCAGGCAACATCCTGAAATATGATGTACATCAAGGAATTAATGTAAAAAAAGAATATGTCGACTTATCCCAGGCAAAGGCAAGTAGACGTGTAGAATCTCTACAGGAGGGAGACGATATCTGCTCAAGGAAGACACATCCAAGTTGTGCAGAAAAAGAGTGACAAATGGATTGGGAGTTGTCCACATACCAGCTTGAATGATATCCTCCAAAATATGGAGGTTGTGAGCAGTTAAAGACATAGACAACAAATTTGGTGCAAAAAAACATGATGTAGATGGAGACATCAATGGACACATCAGAATATGCCAGTCATATGAGTTGATGAACCTAACCAGTGAGCGAAATGGTGAAAAGACCATGGGAAACAGAGGAATTCCATGGAACAAAGAGACAGGAACAAGAACCATATATAACATAGCAGGTAACAAACTGGACAAAGCAGACCCTGGGCAGCCGACATCCAGGGAAGGAAATCTCAATCTGGATAGTGGATAACATACAATGAATGGTAAAGGATGCGGGAAATATTAATGGAATAAATATTGGAACGATGATGACAACATGCCAGGAGGGGGGAAGGAAGTAGATCTTAAAGGTAAAATGGTATAGAGGGTTCAAAAGGAGAACCAGACAGGGCATGAAGGACAACACTTAGATCCCAAACCAGCAGAACAAAGGAACGTGAAAGATGGACCAGACGTAAGGACCGGAAATGTATGGAAGTAACTGGGGAAGAGAAGGCATTCCAGAAGAAGAACTGGGACAGGTGAGGTACAGAAGGACAAGATGGTCAGAAACAATGGTCTATATATCAAAGTCAGAAGTAATACCAAAGCCTCTGTTACGTGGACAAGGAGGAAAGGTGAATGGTACAGGCAAGGAGAGATGCTACACAAGGGGTGAGTCTCAGAGATGGGGCACGGAACCAGACAAAAGTCACACATGAAGCTTGAGTGTGATGACTTGGGATGAAAAAGTCTGATTGCGGTTGTCAGAGTAGTGATCAGGACAGAGATAAGGGCAAAGGGTGTAGGTCCAGTAAAGGCAAGAGCAGAAGGAACCACATCTCAGTCAGCCAATACAGAGCAACCAGCAGAAAATAACAAAGAGTGATCTGGATAAGGGAAAAGATCATGGTGAAGTGATCGATCAGAGGGTAGGCATGTAGGTGAAAACCCCTCCAATCTAAACTGAAAGCATCCACCCCCAGAGCTGAGGGGTGAGGAACTGAAGACCAAAAAGGAAGTTCGACATTTCAGTGAGTGAGAATTGCATATACATGCAAGTTCCTAGTTGAGAACACACCCACAGAAAACCTGAGGATGAAGGGACCACTTTGTGGGAAGAACCTGGTTGGGACATCATAAGTGTTCGGACACAGATTCATAACTTAGGGAACATGACACGCTAGAACAGTCATGTCATGGTTGGTGGTCTAGTACAGTAGACCTAGAGTGTGAAAATACAAAGATCTGGACTTGATTCCCCCTTGCTTGGTAATATAGCTGACCACAGTGGAATTGTCAGAATGAACCATAATCACCTATCCCCACAGGAATTGGAGGAAATGATACAGAGCCCAATGAATTACAAAAGGTTCCAGGATGTGGAAATGAAGAGTAGCCTCCTTGGCAGACTACCGACCCAAAATCTCTGTGGAATTCAGGAAAGTCCTCCTCCAGGCTCACCAGGCTCGGTAAGAGGCAGAGGAATGGGAACCCCCACCATGATCAAGTCCCTGTCA